AATGCTTTTTACATGCTTTTTATTACTCACAAACATTTAAGAAGTTAATTTTCATTTGACAAGGCTGAATTTCTCTCTGCTGCTTGTCTACTTAATGCACAGTGATGCTGTTGTTCTAATGGTGCAAAACCTGTATAAAAAGATGTCCATATCAATGTCAATTATATGTGAGGGAAACTGAAGCAGAAGTAAAAACAAAATGTTGGAACACTTTTTGAAGACTCTACAAGGTATTTATCAAATTCCACAGAGGTAGTGGGACCAGCATACTTTTGCAAAATGCATTCTTTAAAAACCTTCTCAGTCCTTGACTCAGTAACAAAAGGAAAAGGTGGGAGATAAGCATTACCTGAAACCTTACCAGGATGACCCAGTTCTCTATTCTGTTGTCAGTCATCATGACCAACTTCCAAGTCAGGGTACAAAGCTAAGTTTCATCCTGCTTTTTCGCGGAAGTCAAATATGTTCCTGTTCTCAATTAAATCGATAAAGCTTTTATATTCATGGCAAGAAACAGAACTCTGCCCTACATCACCATGCTTCAACATACCTATCTATAAATAAACATCTAGCAAGCTAAAGAATTCAATTAAGTTTTCATTTCTCTCAGTCAACTGCAGATCACAGAGGAAGCTCCAATGACAGCAAAGACAGATGATGAAAACCTGATCAATTGCTATCACTTCAATTTAGATAAAAAGTCACTCACTTTTCAGCTCTGCTTGGTGCCCAGAAGAGATTAGATTAAAACTAAACCAAGAGGAAAAAAAAAAATCTAAACAACAGCCAAAGAAAACCTTTTCCATGTCTTGTAAGTGTTCTCAGTTAATCCTACCATGTAAAGTCAGGCTACCAGCAACAGCTAAAAGCAAATTCCAGAAGCCTTTTGAAAGTTACCAGTACTACTGAGCTTTCAGCGAAAACCAGCATGAAAAGTTAAACTACCTGTTTGCTAAAGTTGTCCCTCTCTATACTGGATTTTGGACTACATTAGAGAACTTTCTAGAACATGATTGGGGCAAACATTACAAATTCTTGTGTCTGCATTACCCACTATTGTGTACAACTGTGCTGTGTGTGATTCCAAGAAGTTCTGGTGTTATTCAATTGTTATAAAGTCACTGCAGAAATTTGCTAAGATCTGTCTATCACACCCTGATTTATTTCAGTTTTGTGAAATGTAGATAAAGCACTGAGATGTAGGATCAGCAACTGATATGTTAATTTGTATTGGATAACAGTTTTGCAAGTGGTTTCATAAAGCAAAATACAAAGAATGTGAATTTAGCCCATTGTTATAAACAGAACACAAGTATAGGGAGAAGACATCTATTTCACCACCGCGATGCTGTCATCACATGTAAGAGTCCCTAAAGCAGGCACTTGTCCTTGTTGAACCTTGTTGAACCTAGATTTTAAAAAAATCTATGCTTTATTTAAAAGCTGAGGAATTACACTTAGTTCATCCTACCAAATTCTGTGTACAGCAGCAGTTCAAATATGAATAGCATATCTCAGCAGGCAGAATTAGCACCAAAGGAAACATTTTAACGAGAACAATATTAATCCTAGATTTTATCTTTCTTCTGTCAACATTTGTCGCTAGCACAAATCACGCAGTCACTTAACCCATTGTCTCGTGATGCCCAACCCTGTGGCTGCAACACACATCAAGGCCATCTATCACAGCCTTGGCCCCTCTTTGGAACCAAGCGTACTGCCAGCGTATGACCATGCACCCCGTAGTGACACCCCCAGAGAAATATCTCTCATCACATAACTGAATATATCCCTCTTACACAGCTGGGCTTACCAACCCCATCTCAGGATTTAATGTACAGCCCACGCACTAACAGAGCTGCACTAAGGAGTGCAGCAAGAAGGGGGCTGCAGGTGCTCAGGACAGGTTATACATTGGCACCCGGTACAGCTGAGGGGCCCTCGGAGAGTAAACGGAGTACAGAGTGGATCACAGACTGTGTCAACTATTCTGCCGGGCTATACCAGGACTCCTATTGCCACCTCCACATGCTATGAATAATCCTTTGTCTTAAATTCTCTTTTCTAGCTGTCAACAATCAGCATAGTACAAGATAAAACAGAATTTTGCTGTAACCAAAAAGGACCAAAATACTTAAAGTACCATAAAATATATTCTTCTTTGAAAAATCTTCTATAGTATGACTTGGCCAAATCACCTCATAACGCCCCATGTTGGCTCAAAGCTGAGGGTGCTAATAAAACTGTGAGACAGAAAAATTCAAATACTTTTCTGCCCCTGCTGCTAAAATAAAACTGGTTTTCCTTCAAGCCTTCTATTATTTAACTCATGCAGTGCCACCATCTTGGTCAGCTATTTTTTTGAGAGTAGGTAAAGAGAGGCAGAGAGCAACAAGCATATCGGTAGAGAGACACCACACAAGAAGTAAGTGCTAGCTGTGTACTTGCATATTTAGAGGGAAGAAAAATGGGATAGAAAATTTACACTAGACCAGGCAAGCAAAACAGTGGTAGCCTAAAAATCCAGCAGGCAGAGAGAGGATACAAAGTTGAATGGCAGAAGCCTTCACATCTTGCGGAAGCCACACACCTTCCAAACAATTCGGAGGTCCTAAAGCTGACCTGAGTATTGAGGCAGCCCATTCAGAATCCCTCTTCCCTACTTTATGCTGGCTGAGCCCACTTTCATTAACCATTTGTCTCTCCAGTTCCATATAAACTGTTAACTAATATTAACATTGTTAACAAGTTTTCTCCTATTTGGACAATAAACTCCAAATCTTAGCTCAGGACTGAGAAACTTCATGCAAAAACTAAAAAGCTTGATTGCACAGTATCCAGGGCTTACATCCCTCTCCACACCATCATTTATACATAGAAGTTATCTTGTCATGATGACCGTTGGACACACAAGCAAATAGCAGCAGAAGCCCAACAAATTTTTGCAGGATATCCCTGGGAAGACTGGATAGATGTGCAAACAGTGCTTTTAGTAGGGAATACCTTTATACTCACAGAGTTTCACTTAACTCAGCCAACATCTCAACACTTCCAAAGCTGGATACCACAACATAATTCACAACAAAAGTTAGCTGGCTGACATGCACCACACTAGTGTAAAAGGGTTGAAGTCAACCAGCTACAAGTATGGACAAGCCTTCAATTTCACAATTGTACAGACACTTGCAAAAGCATTGTTCGGCTGTAGGGTTTTCGTTGTTGTTGGTTTTCATATTCTTGTACACATTATTAGTCAACTACAACAAAAACATGGAAATAGTACAATGAGTAGCATTTCTCCAATAAGGCAGGAAAAGGGGATGTGTAGTTTCAATGGTTAAATTTTCACTGAAGCACTTCATGCCAGAAAACATCAGTTTAGGAAACTGCTGCCTTTTTTTTTTTTCCAGGAAACCATCTCTATTAAACATTTCTCTCTAAAAAATGCAGGACTTGTTCTTCTGCTGCAGTTTTAGACATTCATTCCAAAAATTGCTGGCATTATGTTCCAAGATTTACTTTAATTTTTATACTGTTATTATTATTCTACCATCGATTCATAAAAGCACTGCACAGTGCCATGGCTACTAGAGAAAAGTGAGGAAATAATGAAAAAATAAAAATCAAAACACACATCAATATAAATACTCATTTGGAAATGAAATTAAGAATTGTTATTTTGGAAAAATACAGTAACCCTACCCTCAAAGAAAAAGAGACACCCATCAATTATATTCTCATTGTTTCCATTCCAGAGGAAGACTGGAGAATTATTACTGTAACAAGAAATAGAAGAGCCAACATTTTCCACAAACAACATGTATGATTTTACCCAACCCTACACCTGCTGCACCCCATCTTCAAACTGCATTTTCTCCCTTTCCTCTCCACAGACACACGGAAGGGATGAAACCTATCTGCAGACCACAACCAACAGCTTCCGTATTTATGAAGACCCAAAAGCTAATGTAAGCTTATTGCTGAGATGACAGTTGTGTCTAAGCAGAAGAAACACAGGGGAAAAAAGAGAGAAAAGGGATGAAACAAAACACCTGAAGTAGAAAGACTAGCTCAATAGTAGCTTTTTAGATCTTCCGAAAAGAGCAAATGAAGACAGAATATGGGCTGACTAAGCCTTGTCTAAACTAAGGCTGCTTGGAGGATATGTGGCAGCAGACCTGTGAAGCCTTAGCTTTTTACAGCAGCCCAGCAAAGGGCACACACATCACAGTGTGATTTTGCATTATAAGGAACATCTACCACATAAAACCAGTTCCGCTTGGTTGTGTGATTATATGTGGAATTCTGGGATTTGTTCAGCTTTGTTATGAATTTACTGCTATACTATTTTTCAGAGACATTTCTTTTCCTAGATGCCCAGAGTCAGCATTTGATTGATTAGTGTGGTTTTTCTGGCTTACCCACTAAGTTGATTTGAACAATTCATTTGTTAATATAGTGAAAAACACGTTCAAGATTACAAATTGTTTAACAAGTCTTGACAAACAAGTCCCTTGGTGGTCTTGAAGTTTCTCAGAAGCAGATGGATGAGGTACAATTTTATAGATTCTCTTTCCTATTTGTGTAAAGCTGCTAAGGTCTGAAATAGGCTTTAGTGCAAACAAGGGGCATTGGCAGACAATAAAGAGACAATTGCCTGTGTTAACACAACAATTAATTTATTTGCAGAGAACCACTCAGTCTATTTGTTACCAGAAATGTGCTAATTATTCCTGCTAATTACATGCAAAACCTTCATTATCACCTATATGAGGAAGAGGACCCCTCAGGTTTCAGTGACAAATTAATTACTGTGTTTTCCTTCTGAATGTAATTCTAGACAGTCCCTGTTATCTAAAAAATAAATTGGCTAGCAGGAAGCTTGTCTCTCAGAGACATTCTGCAAACTAAAAGCAAACATACAAATATCATATCCAGTTACTATTGTTATTTTTTCAGGTAGGTATATGCTGAAGCTCTCAGAACTACTATATTAATTTACAAGCTCTTAATCCTAATAAAATATACCATGCACTGCTAAATTCCACTATGTAACTGCTTTCAGAGCCCTTTACACATCTATAAAACAATGGATAAGATGGCAGGCATTAAGGTTTAAAAATATAGCAAATAAGCCCAATGGTAAACTACACAGTCAGTACAACATAGGTATCATTTCAGTGAATAAAGATGATTTAAAATTCATAATAACTGAAGTGAAAAGGACAGCAAAGTGGCTGAATTACCCAGTCTTTCATTACCACCATTCTAATTCAACACACAGGACACTCGCCACCAAGTTCTTGCAATGCATGTCAGGGGAAGTTTCATGCAGAAGGGTGAGGAATAGGAGGCACACAGGATCAAGGTCTTGGTTTGGAAGGTAGGAAACATGGTGAGCGAAGGAGTTACAGCACAATGAATCTGGCAGAGGGATAAATGGAGAGGCTGCAGTGAATTCTCAACACACAGGCAGATAAATCAACTATTTTAAAAAGATGTTTTTAAATCTCTTAAATTTTGCTTAGAACCCGTTAGGTAAGTTTCACCCATTCCTATATGACACCTTGCCAAAAGCCTGCCTCTACTTCCATTAAAAGGTGCTCTGGAGTATAGTACCCACTGTCCATCCTACTTACAGTTACTCGAGGCCTCCTCAATTTCTGTGTTTGGCACAGTAGAACATGAATACCTTAACAATTCAGAGTATCAGCAGCATCCATTAATGGGCACATGAACATCATCGTACAATTCCAGAATGTGGACTTCAACCACAACTTTAGCAGCACCAACAACACTACATTGTACAAAGCAACAGCTAATCCATGGCTGGATACAAATTGTGTATTGCCAGTCTTGGCAATACAGCAGGGGTGGGATAGAGTAGCTCAGATAGGGCTACTGAAAGGCTAGAAATACAGTTTCATAGTGAATCAGGTGATGATTAGCACCCACACAAGGTCATATTTCAACAGCCACTCCACCTTATGAAGATAAAGCAGGAGTGGAGGAGTGGATTCAGACTCTGGATGTCTACAAGACACAGTCCCACCTCTCCAGACCATCAGCACAGAAAGGCAATGCCCAAGAGTGCTGAACCTAGCCTTAGAGACCAGTTTATCCATGACTCACTGGACCTATGCCCTTCCTTCACTTTAATCTGGGTATCACTTGTCATACAGCCCTCTCTACTACGTAAAGCGTAAGATACTTATCTTCATCTTTACTTGCATTTATAGCCCATTCCTCAGACCCTCGTATCTATATTGTATATCAAGAGACTGACTTAAGCCCCTAATTCACCCGTGATACCTCCCATGCCTACTTGTTTCTGGTTTTAAGTAACTGTGTCGCTGCTTTCTGCAATGTTCTCCCTCAGAGGCAGGAAACCCCCATAAATAACTATAGGGCAATTTCATTATTCTTGAAGTCTACCTTCATCCTCTCCTTTCACTTGAGGCCTTCAAAAACCGCAGTAACAATAACGTTAATGATATGCTCAGCTTCCATACGTTGTATACCGAATACAGGTTTCACTGCAGTTTCCATCTGCATATCTTGGTTTGTCTCTTGTGTCAGAGGTTAAGTTCTCCAAAGCAAGAGCCATCTCTGGTGTATTCTTGTAGTAGTTAGCATGTCTTAAACACTACTTGACTATAATTAATAATAATAGAAGTAGTAGTAGTAGTAAGAGGAGGAGGAGGAGGAAGCACAGTGCAAGTTTTCCAAACCAGAAATGCAGGGAAAGAATCAACATTTGGAGGCCAATACTACTTTTGTCATTATTACAAAAAAAAACTTTTAAAGGTTAATGGCAGACCAGCAGAGAAAACATGCCAACTGGCATGTAAACACAGCTGCATGCACTTATAATTTTTATTTTAGTCTGTAATCCTAACTAAGGTTCTGGCATATATGCATTGTCTATGTTTGTGTCCTCTAGCTCAATACCCACTTCCATTCGAATAAATCAGAATGAAAACAAGTGGAAGAAAAGGAGGAGTACTGTACTGCATCTGAGTGCAGTAGTTTTTTTGTTTATTTTTAAGTCAGAGACATTCATGTAAAAGTTAGAATGTGTATGGTTTTATTTCCCCAAAATAGTAACTCATAAAATTATGCCTGAAGTTCAGACCCTGCCACCAGCATAGCAGCTGCTTTGCTGAAAGGATATTAGTCCAGTCCATGAGGATAATAAAACAAACTTTTTACATATGAAAAATTCTCACCTCCAAATCCTAGCTTATTATCAGGTTTTCTGTTCCAAAGCACAGGAAGGTTTCCTTGGCATAAGCAAACCTGAAATTTAGAATACACTTTTTTAACCCGTATATCACCATCACCCTGTACGACTGAAAACCTGACAAGAGAACAGAACAGTTAGCATTGCTGCTAGGCCTGTAACAAGTGGCCTCCAACCTATTGTACCCAAAAGTAGTTCAGATCCAGAAAATGTAAAATTAATCCATGATCAACCCATTGAAAATTGGTCTCAACAAGCAAGAGTTTAGCAGCAGAATGCAAAAGCAGGGCATAACTTATTTATGATAGAAAGACCTTTTTTCCATTTATTATAGCCAGGTTGCTCACTAGATTCTTTTATCTGTTTGTCAATAGCAAGAACAGCAACATTTGACTGACTTTGACAGATGGCTGGCAACAGGGAGGCCATGGGGCAACAACAGTAGGAGGATTCTAAATTTGAGGGGAAAGTGATGGAGGAGAGGGATTGATCTGAAAAACAGAGGTGCATAAAGAGAGCTGCATGGCATCAAAAATTATTGAGAGCTGGAAGTGAAGGGGAAGATGGAAAAGCAGGTGATTTCAGCCTATTTTTGCTACGACACAGAGGAGGAACAAGACATTGCTTTCACAGTGAAACATTTGAGCAATAAAATCATGAGTTTGCCTAGAAGGCAAACCCTTTCAACATGGGCCTTAATATCTTCTAATCTGCCTGGACTGAATTATGAGGACATATTTTTGGCCTGGCCTATACCACAAAATATGAGTAGGGTTAAGAGCATTCAAAGTAGCTGACAAGATGCTGAAGCAGAAGAGAACCTTCCCGCAGAGACTAGAAAGTAGGGGTCAGCACTAGATTAGCTGACACATAGACTGCATCTTGTGTTCCAGTGACTTCATCATTTTACTTAAACCTATCAGCATGTAAATTAGCAATAGAAAAAAATTATAAACTCTTTGTCATAGCTAGAGACGGCAACTATGTGACAAAGAATGACTCAGTAATTTTCTTGCTTCTTTCCTATGTATGAAGTTTTTAGAGATTACCTCCTCTCTTCCCATTCCTTCCCGTTAGTAGTCAGAATTGTTACAATTGTAACAGTTTAGTAGTAAGGGCAATTTTTTCAAATGTAGGAGCCTAGAGACTTATACCTCTACAGCTACAAAGGATATGGATCCACCCTTCCTGCCGACACCAACACTGGTCTATCCAGTTCTCCAAGAGAAGAAGCAAATGTTGAAGTTGGAAAGAACTGATCTAACTCAGAATTATAGTACTACTAGAATTTATTTTATGAAAATCCACATGCACTAAAATACCAACTAATTTTAAACTCCTTTACATTTGGCGAGGAGGGGGAAGCAGTTGTTGGGTATGGGATTTTTTTAGATCTACATTTTCCTTCAGGTTTTCACATGCTCCTGCATAAACATTTCCTGGCTCAATATTGTGTTTACTCACACCACAGTTCTTCCACAGAGGCATTTACTTCCTGCTGCAAAGAAGGGGGAGGGAGGCAGTGTGCAGTGTAGCACCATTTATCCTTTTCAGACAAGGTTTGATTTAGAAAAGAACCAGCCACAACTTGCTGGGTACCAGGAGCCAAATAAATGATTTTACTGTTTGATTATCCACATCATCCAAAAACAGCGTAAGTGGCAATTGGCTTGCTTCCTGTCATACTGGGACCTGGGTTGCACAACAAGTTTGTCTTGCGCAGAAACGCTGGGTTTCTGGAGTTGTTAGGGTCCTGGAACTGTTAGTTTTCAATTATCTTGTCTTGGACGAAGCACTTTAACTCCTCCCTGTTCTCTAGCACAGCAGCTAAAATGGAGCCATCCTGCTGCAGCCTGTACAGCCAGCAGCTTCCCTAGGGACCCCCACACCCTTCCCCTCACATTAATGAGTGGCTAACTGAGTAAATAGAAATAAATTAGCAATTAACTTATCCTGGTAGATGTCAAGGAAGAAGAGAATCCCAAAGAGGAATTTAAACAGGGAAAAAGATGTGTGAGCTTTACAGTTCAGCGTAAGAAAGAGCACTTGCATAAGACACTGCATACAAGAAAATAAAATGGTTTTAAACAAACCAGAAAGTAAGTCTCCAAGGCTTGCACCACTAATGGAATTGAAAGGAGGGATGAAAAATGTTAGTATTATCTCTGGCTCAGGAAGTCCCAAAGCCATGATTCAGTAGAAGGTAGGAGAGTACACCAAGAAAGGATCATTACGTGCTTGACATTTTCTTATATGCTCCCCCAGGCTGCTGTCAGAAACAGGATACCCGGCTAGACAGATGTTTAGTCTGATCCTGTATGACTTTGTGATAGTCCTGTTCTTACTTTGTGATAGTAAGACATAAATGTGGATAGGAAGAAAGTTATGTGCAACTCGGGGATCACATGAAACTTTAAGTTGATGCAGGCATAACAGCCAACGGTGAGGGGATTCAAGCTGAGGGGTGTCAACTCTGGACAAATTCCGATCACTATGGACTTCACCCCTGGGAGAAGTTCATACTGTCCAAAATCCTTCTCATACACTTCAGGACTTGTCTTTAGGACATGGGGCACCTCTGTAGTCAAACCACTTCCCCTACCCTCCTCTGGTCCTTCAGTTAAGTATTTCATTCCTTCAAAAAAAAAAGTTTCTTTCCTCTCTGTCTGTGAATTAATATCTGTCATCATGCTATTGCCAATGTGGACATTTTCTGCACCGCATTTTCTAGGTCTTTGCAAGAAAACACATCTTCCCAGAGCTAGCAGTCCTTCTCAAATGCAAGTCAAAACATATTTGAGAGCAAAACCAGATATGCTGAGATATTTTGCAATAGAATAACAATGTCACAATGTCAACCATAATTTCTAAGTTGTACATAGATGCCTCAAATCATCACAGTTCAAACACAGCTGGAACAATGGGTCAGGAAGGGTTTTATTTCCTACTTTATGTATAGACTACAGGGAAACGAGAAGCAACAGTCACAAGAAATTTTCTTTCACCACGGCCATCAGAAAGACTACCTTTTCTTGCTCCTAGCCATTTTAATTCATGCTCTTGTTACAGTCAGGCAGGCTTGCTAAAGAAACTGTATATAGAAAATGTTATACAACAGTTGCAGCAAGTAGCCTATACAGCAGCTTATTTGCTGTGACAAATTGCACAGAGCGTGCCACACACCAATACTCCATATTCTCTTCTGGGTCACTGAATAGATTCTGGTTCAAATTCCAGACAAACTATTTCATATGCAAAGCCATTAAAGAACTAGAACTATTTTCTTTTGCTAGCTCAGACTAGCCTCTACTCTAGGAGCTAGGGTAGCCTGCAAGGCAATATGCAATACGGATGCAAAGCCCACTCAGACATTTCTCGGATGACTATCTAGCCACTATAATGTTATATAAAAGGGAGCTGCACCATCTTTCTCCCAGCGGTAGCAGCTGTCACTGCATTTTATGAGGAGATGAAGCTGTCCACGGATATTGTGTGCTCTGGGAACATTTACCAGATCAGCTCTCCCAGGTAATTCTGATCCCAGAACATCTGCTTCCTGGATCCCAGCCAAGCTTAAGGAGCAGGGCAACGAACTCTGCCAAAACAGGGCTGTTTTGGACCTCAGCTGCAACAGCATGCCAGGCACCATGGAACTGCAAAGTTGCTCACAGACCTTAGGTGTCTCCAGGGCTAGACTGCAGTTAAGGAGGCACTCTTACAGTCACAGTTTTGGACTTAAATAGCTTACTCTTCCAAATCTCATTTTAGGTAAAAAAGGGGGGGATTCAATTATCTATTTCTCTCAGCAGTATTCTTACACTGTACAAATTTATTCCTCAACTGATTGAGAAAATTACTTACTGGTTGTGTGCACCACAGCCTGATCCCTAAGATGAGTCTTCAGGACAGAAATGCTGTATAAATAATACATGAAATAGTTATAATGGAATGATTTTCACTATGGAGGTATTCATCTCACTTCATTTCAGCCATCTTTTGAAAACCAGTATTTTCTTAATTAATTATCTAGGGTCTCTTTCATAATGGGAGGGTGATTTGGTGACAGTACCAGCTTAAGCAGCAACTTCAACAAGGGCAGCTCTGCCACTTAAAGAATAAAAATACTCGTGAGCAAAGTTTAAAACAGATGGGACAACTGGCCAGAGAGCAATACTTTCTCTCTGTTCTGACAACAGATAAAGAAGCATAGACAACTAGCTTAAATTAGAGAGCAATGACCATGTGTTTATGTTATGATAGTCAATGTCATCTTGTACCAGAAGAAACAGGACACATGCAGAAGGATTTATTTAAAATACAGTGATATAACATTTTTAGTTAGCATCTATAAACTTTCTCTGCTCTGCGATTCTTGCAGAGTTGAGACTTGCACAACAGGCCAGGTAACACCAGATAAGATTCACACTATACAACGAAAGAGAAGAAGAGAAGTTCTCAAAACAGCAACAAGAGTTGTTTAATCTACCTTACCCTACACTGTCCATCAGAGTAACACTAGTTCTTATCGCTAAGTAAAAATACATGTGTGTCTACATAAAGAGAGATACAGAGATGGATATTCTGTTAATTTAAAAGAAGGTTAAAGAGCTTTTATCAATCTTTATATATTATGTAGTGTTTATCATTTCTATCACAACACCCATTCCAGTCATAACATTGTGCTCTTATGGAAGACCACAATTAATCTGCTACCTCCTCAATTAATATTTCAGTGACTTTAGAATTATTTAAGACCCTTCCAGATCAATAGCCTCCCATGACTGAACCTGTGTTTCACCAGGAAAAACTTTACTGGGGGAAAAAAATGGTAATTTCTGTTAAACCTGTAATGCATATCAGTGACACTGAGCAGCAACTTTTTTGATGCTGACACCAGATGAGAAATCACTTTCTAATTAAACGGAAAAGTAGCATATATGTGAGGTAAGAGCCAGCTTCTGAATGTGGAAGTAGTACCACTTTCTCATTTTGCAGGGTAAGTCTGCCCTGCTTCCTCAAAAGAAGACACAGTGAAGGAAAATGTGACCTTGGAAAG